TTTCAAACTAGTATTTAGGGATTCATCCAAGTCTAGACGACTCGGTACAGATCAAACATATTCTCGTAAAGTTGTTCGAAGAGTCCACGTCATCGCGATTGGAACCATACCCTGACATCCACAAACCAGAACTAGGCACCTCCTCTCTCACCCGCTCCAGCGAATGGAGAACCGAAAGACGAAAGCACTAGGGGCAACGAAGCTCACATAGTGGAGGGGGCTGCTATCCATCGAACTGACCTTGACGAGGCAATATTCACCGCCGCAGTAGAAAGATTGAACTCTCGGGGATAGGGTGGTATATCCGACCGAAGAGACCTAGAATCTAGGTCCTAGATCCTCTCGCGTCCTCGAGTAGCCCAGATACGGAAAGTTTGCCGGTGCGGTAGTTAATATTCGTCGGGGCCTCCCCGTTTAACCACGGGCGAAACGGTCACGGGGCCGGATTTTATCGTGAAAGATTTACGTATTTCGAGTAGGTATTCAGATTTATACGCCGGAATTTGCCGTTATTGCGGCCGTATATATCTCGCTCCCGGTCGTGTACCAAGAGGAGAGGCGGTCGTCGCGGCCCTCGCTCGATAGAGGAGGACGGGGTTTCTTTTCACGAGAACGACAATCCGAAAAGTACACCGTGTATCGTAGCGCGAAAAAGATATCGCCAGCTCGTAAAACTGGCGATATTACGCGAGGAGAAGTTCGAGGTCCTTCGTCGATGTCGACGACATACACGCTTCCTTCGTCGTTCATGGTAGGAAAAGGAAGTAACCTGGAAGGAAAATAAAAGAGTGAAGGAGAGCGAGTCCGTGGTGAAAATCAACCGACGTCGATATACCGATAGATTTCGAGGATAGTAATAATAAAACGCGTGGAATACGAGCGTTGCATGGGTGCTTTATTAGAACGTCCCTGCTCTAACAGGGGGCTTGCTGCTGCTTCAGGATCGATACTATACCAGGGCCTTGGAGGAGCCTCTTTCAGATCGCGTTTCTTCATTTGCCGAGGAACGGAAAATCCAACGAGGCATGTTTACTTCGCGGCCGGCTGGTCAGTCGGTGGACGTTTAAAAATACCTATATGTATATACACGTTACAAATGATGACGTAACGATGTAACACGAGCAACGAAGGAGAGAGAGAGGGAGGTCGGACACATCGTGAAAGAGAGAGGGAGGATTGTTATCGATTACGAGCACGGGTTGCGTAACGTTTGCTCGACCGGGAACCCCGTGCTGTTATGTTCGTATTCCACTCGAGAGGTATTTTCGTTTGAACGGAACGACCGGATAGATTGCGATAGGTCCACGGCGCTCGATTCTTATTGAATATACAGCCTCGATCGAGTTGCAACCGTTTGCTTTTACTGGTATTTTTGGAGCGCGGCAACACGCTTTCCCCCGCGAATGCAATTCTAGTCTTAAATCTTTCCTGATCCGATGGGCTTTCCGAGCTACGGATGTGAGATAACAAACAATTATCGGGATAACGAATTGAGATAGGTCCGGGGGTCTTAAGCAACCCTGGTAGATCCTTGGTCGTCTCGGGTTTCTTCAGGTAGCATTCCGAACGTTAACACGCTGCCGATAGATTTTTCGCCTGGATGGCTTGATGTCCCTGCACGTCACGCATATCGGCGACAACGGGTTGAGGGGTTAGCCCTTGAAAATCACAGGTACCTTTGTGAATTTTTTCTGAGAATACAGTAAACTAAACTGGAAATCAGTTGTAAAGCCTGAAATATATACATATATGGGTATATGTATATTACAGGTTTTGCAACTGATTTCCAGTTTACTCTATTTTATCAAGGGGTCAAGGGGTGAAGAAACCCTTTAAACGGCGCATAGACTAATTGCAAAGCATAAGTTGCTTCGATCGTTTACAAGACAGTTGTAACGTTTGTGGTGCAGCTGTACGGCATACTAGGAATCTGTCGAGATCTGTCTTTGCAACTGCCTGTGCAATTTGTCGTACAACTTGAAGTATACGATAAATCGCATCGCCCGTGGCCAGTTTTAAGGCAGACTAATGGAATGTGTTTCTTTAATCGGCAAATCGAGGTTTTTGGAGCACCTGGTTCTCTCCGCTGTAGGTTTCGTTTTCGTCGGGAGAAGAGTGTACCGCGAAATTCTCGAATGCCTGGCGATTCACCGTGTGTCGCGGATCCTCGTTTCCGGGTATTATTTATTGTCGACGCACGATGCCACAAGTAGCTCGAGCTTTTTCTCTTATCAAAAGCACGGTCGCGGTGCTCGCGATAAGATGAAGAGTAGCAGGCGCGGGAAAGAAAATAAAGGAACGGAAAAAACAGTAGAGTAGAAAGACGGCGAGACGAAGAAGAAGAAGAAGAAGAAGACGGGCAAAGAGCCCGAACGCGTGACTCCGTTGAAACAGAGCGGGCCCGCTGTTATTTCTAGACCGAAGATTCAGTTTCCGGTCGCGGCACCAATTTGTGTAATTACTGGTTTCTTTGAAAGCAGCTCCTCCGGATCCCCTTGTGTCCAGAAAAAGCTTCTCCGCCCTTTTCTCTCCCTGTAGCCGGCGAAAGACGGTGCTTTGACATCGTCGCCCTGTATGGCGCCTGTTGTCTAATCTTTTCGCGCCCCGTCTCCCCATCCGGTCCGGTCCTCTATTTTCATCGGTTCACATTATCATAATTGGTAGATGAATCGATAGAGACCAACGTGTGCAAATCCAACTTGAGAATGTGTGTTCGACACTATGAATCTCGTGGTAGCATTCTTTGACGATCGACTTGTACCCGTGTTTCTAAAAGTGCAGTCGGATCGGAGTTACACGCCCGAGACTTAATTCGTTGTATTCACGGTTGCGCCTCGAATCCGTGAGCAACGGGGCCTGTGTATGTGTGTACATGTTCGTTACGTGGCGGCACGGTATATATGAATCGACTGACTATCTTTAAGTGAATAGACGCTGATTAGGAGTTCTCACGCATCCCCGAACGCCAGAGATCCACTCGTTATTTGTTATTTGACTCCCGGTGAGGCTCTCTCGCGCGGCTGATCCTATCGGCGACGAGCGCGCCGTCTGCATGGTTATTTCGCGGCCGGATTTGGAATTCGTTTCGCGCGAGCTCTGTGTCAGGTCGGCCGCTTTTGGCGTGTACATTTACTTACTTTTTCCGAGCGGAGTAATCAGAAGGAGGGGGGTAATTGCTCGTGTATGGTCTCGTGTTTCGCCTGCGGCTCACAGTGCTCCAGAATCAAAATCTAGCAGCTCGGACTATTTAGCTCCAGAAATGAAGATTTTTGAAATTTATAAAGTTTATTCAAATAGAAGTGGATACACGAACATCCATGGTTAACGAGTTAAGTTGATTCGAGTCTTTCGGAAGATAAAAGAAATTTCTTTTCGACCATTCGAGCTGCTATATTTTCATTCTGGACTATTGTGCGGCTCATCGATCGTCGAACTTCCATGTTCCGAGTAAAAGTCACCAAACAGGCCCGGACAAATTCTATCATGCTGTACAACACACACTTTTACGAGATATATTCGGAAGAGGATATGGAAGCTCGACACTCGAAAAAGAGAGCGTGTCCTCGGTCTCTGGACATCGTTCAGCGTCACTCAAGTAAATTGCTCGTCAAAGGGACGACACACAGGGACACAGGACGAGCTAGCCCAGCTCAATTCCGTAGTTCGCAGTGTACCTATGCTGTGTACTCTCACGGTCGTCGTTCCTTCTCCCTGTTCGCTGGCCCCTCGTCTCTTAGCGAGTGAGAGACCAGTGGCGGCGGCAAACATTTCGCTCGCGGTAATTGCAGAAACGGGACGTTGCACGGCCCACCCCTCCATCCGGTTTTTCATTTGGCCCCTTTTAGTGTCGACCTTAAAATAAACTTTGTAGCCCTGCGACGTCGCCGCCTTCGTCCTCCTGCTCTTCGTCGTGGTCGTTTCCCCGCCAGTCGTCTCTCTGTACTTTCTGGTTCTCTGCAATCCTCCCTTCCTTTTGCTCTATATTTCTTCGTCCCTCTCTCTTTCTCTCTGGCTGTTTGCGCTTCGTCACGCCAAGTCGACCGAGAGGAGGCCGCGGCCAAGGAAATGAAAGAGGGCGGTACCCGGGAGGAGAGGCGCCGCTTCGAGAGACACCCCCAAAGAGTTACAGCTTTCAATTTAGTAGCGCAAACACTCGCCGCGAGTTAATATCTGCCTTCCATTTCCTGCTCTAACCTCGTCAACTTGGGGCCCTCCGCGAACGAGACTCCTTCTCCGTGAAAGTTGCCGCGTGTCTCTTCGCTAGCCGGGAATCGTGTCGTCGTCGTCGTCACCGCCCCGTCGACAACGAGGCGTCTTCAAGAGGAACGATTAAATCGAGCCAACTCGACCGTGTCCCCCGGTAATCGTGCCGCTCCAGTTGCATCGGTAGAACGACGACAACGAGGGAACTCGACGCTCCCCGTTGCACAGATTACGTGTCCTGTTAATACCTCGCGTCGACGCAAATTGGATACGGGTTGATTCGAAGTTAGACCGGCTGGTGATTAGCGGGAACAGAGAGACGCGTCCTGTTATCCCGTTTTCAACTGTGTCCCACTCCAGAATTCAATGTCGCCTATATGGTTGTATACGACTAGTAGACTAGTGTTCGTATCTCGTGGAGCGTCCATATCGTGCTAATATAATATTCTATCGTTGAAGTATTCTTTCGACTTATTCGGGGGCAATCACACACCTGGTGTGTAATGCTGTCCCTAGGCGAAAAGACCAATGACAGACCGTGTGTGCAATGATCATGGATTCGTATTATGAGTTATACAAATGTTGCCTCCTAGAGACTGACTTTCGAAAAGTTGCTGGCCTCGTGTGAGTTAACGTACGTCTGTACGAAATGACGTCCGTCGCAACAGACATCGTTTCGTACGCTGTACCTCCAGCATAAACACTGTCAACACATATGTCCTAGCGCGTATTATAACATAGAGGACATGACACACAATCGTCGCATTCTACAGCGTTAAACATCGGGTATGTTCCAGGTCGCAGCGAAACCGCGAGGATGTGATCGAGAATGCCCGCAGGACCGCGTGAGATCGTGATCGTCCGAAAATGGCCGCGACGACGACACCTGTACCTCCCCGCGTTTCAACGTGATCCCTCGAAGCAAGGAGGAGTCAACCAGCGAGGGACCACCGGGCACACCGGCGAGCGATGCACTGAGAAAGCCATCTCGCCGCGACCCGGTTTCGAGCTACCTGTATATATACACGCAGCAGGAGATAAGTAGATCGTGAGGCCAATTCGCAAAAAAAAAAAAAAAAAAAAAAAAAAATGGAGGAGGTTCGGGGATCACCGGCGCGTCGGCTCTCGCAAATCCTCGATCCGATCGCGCGGCTCGCCACCGATTTCGGCTCGAATTCAGCCCCGTGCAGCCCGAGACTCGGGGTCAGGGGCCACGAGGCGTCCTCCGGCACGATGATTCAGACCGGGCCGGCCGAGACGATACGCAGACAGCAGGAGACAACGAGTCGCGGTCATTCGAGCGGTGCTGAGAGTCCGCGACTTTGGCCGCGACAGATCCGCCAAGCTCCAGCCCCGCCGCCCCGGCCCAGACACGGAAACACCAGCCAGAACACGGCTACCTCTACTCATCAGGCATCCGGTGGTCTTACAGCACCGCCGCCGCCGCCGCCTGTGCACACCAGGGACTCGCCGTACGTGAACGTGCCGAGTCTGTTGATCCAGAAAGAGAACAAGGGTTTCACGGACACGGCGAGAAGTGTCGGTTACGTGGAGCTCAGAGACACCAAGCCAAAGTGCAGCCCGTACGACTTCACGTCCGAACCGAGCGGTCACGTGGAGTACGCCGACAAACGGACGTTCGCCGCGCAAACGGACTTTGACGGGTCCGCCGCGTGTTACGAGAAGGATCTTGCCGTTTTGGCCAGGTCCAGATCGAATTTCGATCCTGGACCCTCGCCACGACCCGGACAACATTTCGATCGCGCGTATTCGTGCTCGGGCAGGCAACCGGAATCAACCGGTAACAGAGTGTTCACCGAAAATCGACTGTTCGTGGAACAGAGGAACACAGCTGCTGCAGTTGCTGCGGCGGCGGGCTCGGATGCGAAGAAAGAGAAGCTTTTGGAGAGCAGCAGACCCGCTTACGGCTCGTCCAAGAGCTTCGATGGATACTCGACCGCGGTGGAGGAGCTTAATTGGCAGGAGAGGTGCCTCGAGCTGCAACTCGAGCTGCACAGAAGCAGAAGCCAGGCCACCAGAGTGCGGGACATGCTTCGCGAGAAGGTGAGTTCCGATGTTTACTCTCTTGCTCTTCACTTCCGTTTCGCTGGGACCTTTGCAATTCTACGCGTCGCTTTCGCGGACTCGCTTGAAGTCTTTAGACTTTAAAGTTACCCTATTTTTAAAAGTCACGATTTAGCCAAGCCCATCACTTGGCGCTTAAATGGTTCCACGAGGGACTCCCTCAGTGGTGCGGATAACGTCTGCACATTCAGCGCCAAGGAATCTTTGATAACTCATCGATGATTCACTGTATTGGCCAATGCGATGGCATCAACGATTTCAGGCGTTCTCCCCCTCTTCTCGCCCCTGTGCCGTCACACTAAATTTATTCGGAGCAACGCGCTTTACCAGTTCAGAGCTTATCCTAACAGTCCGAAAGATATCTCGTTTCGGGGACTGATCAGAGTTGATTTGAAATTTACGCGGTTGAAATAGACTCTCCTGGCGTTTAACGTGTCCGGGAAATTGCGTTACCGCTGTCACGGAGGGAGGGGAGTCGGGTCCGCGGAGACCAATCGCGGCAAACGATCCGTGACTAAACCAATAAGCGATCCCGTTCCGTACCGCCGGCGCAACTGCCTCTGCGTCCGATAACCATTCTGTTTTCCGCGTTATCCCGTGTATATGTATGTGTGTATGTATTTCTCATGTATGTATGTATTCTGTATCGAGGGCTTCCGTAAAACAAGGGTCCCAGAATCGCCCTGGCTCTACCTACCTGCGGAAAATTCATCCCATCACGGCGCCAAGCGTTTCCACGGATTTCTAGCCATCTCTGGTGCTCGGGTTCTACACCGAAACACTTCGATACGTTAGCGTCGTTGTGTTTCGACGGACACTTTAATCTGGATAGGGATTCAAGCGTAGAGATCCGACTGAAAATCTGGAAATCTGCGAATTCTTCTAGGGTCTACCTGGCGCGCGCGTTATTTGGATCGAATGCTGTGTGGACCCCGGTTCTCGTTACGATCCTGGAACGATTTATATCGTTCGCAGGCGGTTTCCTCCGACGCTCGACATACGTCGGATGAATTGCAGAAGGGTGACCCCGAGGGAAGAGTGGAGGGAAAAAGCGCCCGCTTATGTACATACGTCTTTAGTATGCATGGTCACGCGTCACGATTTAACGCGACTACCTTAGATAAGGCACATAGCCGACGGTACAGAGCGCGGTTAGGGGGGGGGGGAATGGTCTCTTTGGTTCTTCAAAATCCCCTCGTGCCTCTTAAGCGGAATTGAATCACTTACCAGACAAGGAGACTCCGCCGGGCACTGTTTAACTCGTTGTTTTCTCGGCATCGTTCCCCTGTTATGCCGTAAATTGAGCACGCGAAGAGATTCTTCTCGAGACGCAGCGTCTAGACACAAGTAACATTTGACAGTCTATACACGATCGAATGATTTATTCAGCAATTTAGAATAATTCGAATAGCAGTAGAATACGAATTTGATATTCAAAGTCTACGAAGTATTCGAAATACATATTCCGATTATTCGGAGTGATCGAACTTTGGATTGTACTGAATAGGATTCTGAACATAATACACTTTTCCACACTTTATCGTGAAATGCTTTTCACATTGGCCTTTACAATTCTTTGTTTGTCAAACGTTAAATCCGAATTGTTCGCTCGCCACGAACTTGGAGCGGTTGGGTAGTAAGAATCAGCTAACGCGACGGTGAGAGGCGTTATCCTCGTGGCTTCTTATCGGCTTCGTATCGCGCGTTCCGAGCCGCGGCGAACCCCGTTACGCGTTCGCTTGCATCACTACTCTTGGATCGTTGTCCTGATTGACGTAACGTTTGTTTACAACGCTCGCTCCCGGCGAGATTCGTTCACGACGATTTGCGAGCACAGCTGCCGTTCGGCCCCGCGTATTCGCTGTTTCCGACGACGTGCTCGATGGGGTTGGTTCGTTACGACTCGCCGCGCAATTACCAAGTTTCCGCGTAATTTCTCGTAATCACGCCTACCTGTAGGAAACTTCCGCGGTATTGCTTCGTTCATGCCTTCGTCGACTCGAACTGCACGTTCGCGCGCTTAGTTACGCGGGGTCTGAATATGAAGGAATGGAGATTGGATTATCCCTGTGCACGCCGTGAACATTCCCTACTACGTTTTTTTTAACCCCTAAACAGGTTTCTACTTTTTTTTTTTTAGAATTCCTTCGTCACGAAAATAGGGCCACGGTGGTCAAAATGTGGTTGGTGTTTTCCGTATGAAATTTTTTACTCTTTCCGATGGTAGAAATTATTTGTTCCAAGTCGTTTAGTTTCATCCTACGCTACAATAGCGTTCACATGTATCCACCCCGGTTGCTCAAGGTCGAGCACAGAAATCCCTCAATTCCTATCTAACTCTCAGCACGGTTAATTACAGTCGATCGTTGCAAAAAAGGGGGGGAGGCTTCGCGAGTTACACCGCGAGCGATCGATGCGCGCGGCAGGGAAACCTAAACCGCCTTGTACGCTCGGGGGGGGGGGGGGGGGAAGCGGTTTCCTGGAAATTGTTCACGTGCTCCGAGAGTTGACCTTTCGGTCGCGTGACAAGGGCCTACATTCCGCTGTTCACGGTCGCGCCACGGAAATAGTTCAACTGGGTGGAGGTGAAGGAGGAGACGGAGAAAGATAGGGCGCGAGCGGGTTGGGCGGAGCGGAACTGCTCGCAACCCCGACTATCCCGCGTATCGCGCGCTCTTTAATGCCTCTTCAAAGGGCATTAACGAGTAACGGCCTCGTAAAAAAATTAACAGCACTCGCGCGCTTCCGGTGCGATACGATTTCCCTGAAAGTTGAAAGCCCTCCACAGTGGCGCGCGCGCGCGCGCGGTCGTTTCATAAAAAATAACAAAAAGGAGAGGCGAGTGTAGTAGCGTGGGAGGGCTGGCGAGATACCAATACGTTGGAAAAGCGTGGAAAATGGTAACGAAGCTCGGTTCGGAGGCATGTAAACGGACCTCTTCAGTTTTATTTGTACGAAAACTGTTTCGAACGGATATGTGCAGTTGCTCTTCTTCTATCAGAAGTGTGCTAGTCCTATCCCATTGACCTTAAACAACAACGTATTCTTCTACTCTTAAAAGAAAATTCACGACTGAAAGGGTTAATGTTCAGTGCCGAAGAGCCTTCGAACATTCATCGAGGATTTTCTGTCCTTTCGGATTCGCGACGAGATTTTCCAACGGGGCTACTTCTTGCCCGTTTTCTATCGTTGAACGTTGTCGTTTGTAAATGCAGACAAACTGCACGCGACCGGGGTGAGAACGGAGCGTACATGTGTATTGTATACAGTACATGTATATGTATATATATATATACATACATATGTGTACGTACACGCGGAAACCGAGCGAGGGTAGCGAGCTGGCGAATGAAAACGTTGACGAGAATTCGGCGAGCCACGCTCAGTCGGAAAGTATACGGCCGCTTTCCGCACTAGCCCTGCTATACATATATCGACACTTTTGCCTGGTCTGTCCTCCCGGCGTTTCACCCTTCTTCCGGCCCTCGGTTCCATTTCCAAACTCCGAAAGCATCCCTGTTACACGGGGAATCGGTGAAAGCGTTGAGTTTAGATCGGACACATCGGTGAACGTGTTTTCGTCGCTCCTTCGTCCCCGGGATTCGGGAATTCGAGGTCGTAATTTTTTTACGATAGTTTAGTAATCAAGGGTTACCTTGAGGCAGTTCTTCCGAATTTACCCTAACGAGGGAATCCTGTACTGAAGCCATCGCGTAAACTTGCAATTTTTCGAGCAAAAGTAGTATAACCGTAAAAATGGTAATATGCGTAAAAACCCCACGGAATCGTACCTATAGAGTATTCAACAGCGTTTGATCAACACGTCTGCGAGAAGTATTATATGGTATTAAAGTCGAGAAGCATTATGCCCCCGTCGAAAATACGGCTCTCCATCGAAGTGCACGACGAACTTGATGCAATCTGCGGCGGAACATTTCGCAGACTCGGCTCCAAAGGAACTCCTTTTCGTCGGCCGTTTCCAACCCTTATATACCCACCGCCCCCGTATCTTTCGTGCCCGTTTTTAAGTGCCGTTTTGCATAGATCCAGATCGTCCGTAGGTTCTTCCACGAAGTAACGCCGCGAGGCCGACAGAGTCTCGTCTTAATATTCGTTAGAATTTCTAATTTACCGTCGGCCCTAAGTCGTCCCGTCGCGTCGTTCCTGCATATTTCCCGTCAAGTTCATAATCTTTCCGCGGAGCGAACCCTCTGCTTCTGTTCCTCATCCTCTTCTCGTCTCTCTTTTCCTCTCCTTTTCCCTCTCTAGGTATCTCGTTTCCACATCTGTCTACCGACCAAAAAATCTCTTCTTTGCGCTCGAAAGACATAGAATCTTTCAGACCACTACCTTTTCACAGAGTTTCATCAAAATCGATGAGCAACGCATATATCTATGAACGCATACATATAATGCTGCTACCTAAACAGTTGTTTCAGCGTCTGGGTGAGTTGGCACGCTCGATGGTTTCTCGATCGTTCGTTCCATGTTCCATATGGAACACACCCGTCTGTCCCCCAAGTAGTCAGAGTTGTGACACCTTGGAAGGTTTGAATTCCGGTGCAGCGTGAGTGAGTGAGGAGCGACTCGTTCGAAAATTACGGAACAATCGTGTCTCGTGCGGGGCCGGGGCCGACTCGGCCAACACCTCGTTATCTACGACGATGACAGTCCGGTCTCGCGGCCCCGAGCAAATATCGGCCGCACGTATAATACATACGTGTGTACACAGGTAGCCGGGATATTGTTCGGCAGCCTGTGCTATTAATATTGCATTCCATCGGAACGGTGTGTACAGCGCGGCCCGCGTCCCACATATAAAGTCCGTATCAATATTGATTCGCCGGCGACGACGCACGGCGTGAATGGAGGGACCTCCACGCCCGTGCAAACAGACGGGGCCTTCCGTTGCGCGGATTTCAAAAGCCGCCTCCACTACTCGACTCCGAACTCATTTCCAACGTTTTCAGACCTATTTA